TATCAATCACTTCACCCTACGACCCAATCAGCCGCGGTTTACAATGGATTGTCAAATAATGACGTACCCAAAGCCTATCCTGCAAATCATGTTTGCCAATGGCAAAATCACTCGCCTCAGATACACGCGCGTTCGAGATATACGCTCCACGAAGCTGATCCAAATTGTCTTGACCAGCGACGGAAGCGTATATGAGCTGCCTGCCGCCTTGTTCTGAGGTCCGAGCGATGAGCTTTTGGATGAGGCGGAGCATTGCGCCCAAGATAGAGTTGAGCTCCCGTGTCAATTCAGATTTACAGAAGCCAGGGTTGACACCATTCACGATTACGGGGGATTGCTTTCCCAACCGCTTAGCAAGCGCTTGATAGAAAAAGATGTCGAGTACTAACTACAATTCATCCAGATGTTTAGCCACCGGCAGTTGTAAACAGTCTCATGCAAACTACTTACGCTTTGTATCCTGGTATCGACCCCTCATCACACTATTCAGGGGTATGAGCATCAGATATTGTATTAAATGGTAGACTCACGCTGGGGTGCAATACTCTTTGGCGCTTAAAGTCTTGTAAATGTCTTTCTTGGGCATTGTCTTCTCGAGTTGGGGCCAGAAATGAACCTCGCTAACCACGGTCACTAGATGCGGGTGTGTATTGTGATCGTTGGCCGTTTTAATCATCCGGGGAAGCATGCGCAGTTCAAGTAGGAAGATAGACAAACAGTTGACCTGGAGCCTGCAGAAAGTGATTAGGGGCAACAGCCATATGTGAACTGGACACATACGATATCTCCCAGCCAGCGGACGTTGGACGGTACTCAGCTGGGATGGTCGCTGCGTTTGCGACGAGAATGTCTAAGCGACCGCCGTCGTTCTCAAATTTGTCGGCAAAAGCGACCACCGACGAGAAGTCGCTGAGGTCGACGATCCAAAGCTCTGCCCCTTTATAGCCCGTCTCCTGACGCAGTTCTGTAAAGTGCTTTAGCCTTTGACATAATTGTTTGTTTGAGTATTAGGCACTTTGAACTGCTGCCTCCCCCTTCGCTTTGCTTCGACATGCCATAATGAGACGAGAAGGGTTCATCCTTGCGAAATGCTTGGATGCTTCAAAGCCTAGGCCAGTGTTTGCTCCGATCACAACAACAGTCTGCCCCCCGAGGTCAGCTTTGGCGACTGGCCGGACAGTAGATAGTTGTTCGCGGAGGAAACCGAAAATAGAGAGCTTGCCCATAGCTGCTGTGGAAAGAGAGGAGAGTCGATGAAGGTAGAGCTCACAATCTCTGTTCTTAAAAGTGATGGTCGCAGTACCAGCTCTGCCGACCATCCACCTCAGCTTCGCCGAAGACATGTCGATGGTCCTGAACTGAGTTATTGCCACAGTTCGGAGAAGATCATTCTACCTGAGTAAGTACGTCAGGAAACCGCGCTGCCGGCCAGTTCCATATGTACATATAGCGCACCAGCACTATGGACAATCTTTCCGGATTATGTCCTTGTAATTTGTAAAGACACCATGCAACGATCCACTTCATGCATCTGCCGAATACCAGACAATGGCTCCTCTGCACACGACGCGCGTACACCGGCAGACGAGACGACATTTTAGGAACAGGGAGCCGAAATAAAGGACGGAATTATGAATATAACCTGATAAGAGAGATATTCAGGAGGAGCTGAGAGGTATTTCAATACCTCTACAACCTGAGGATCGATCTTGCCCAAAATATCAATCATTCACTCTGTAACCTAATGAGTTGGGTTCACATGAATTGTTGAACTGTGACGTACCGAAAACTTGTCCTGCACATCGTGTTTCCAAGGGCATAATCACTGAATTCGGACACCCGGGCGCACAAGATGTATGCCCCACAAAGCTTGTCCAAGTTATCTCCACCGCCTGCAGCAGCATATATGAGCTGCCTACGACTTTCTTCTGAGATTCGAGCAATATACGATTCTATTACGTAGAAATATTCTGTGTGCACCAGCGCTGAGTTCCCATCTAATTTCGGACAAGCAGAAACCATGATCGATGCCATTGGGAAATTAAAGGGGATTGTGACCCAGCCGTTCAATGAGTGTTTGGTAGAATAGAATGGCGAGAACTATATTTCGTCAGTCATCTACTTGTAGAGGTTTGAGAGGCCGACGCTTTTTATCCATGTATTGTCCCTCCATGGCACCGGTGAAGGGCGCTATACGAGCTTCAAATACGGCATTGAGGTTGTGGACTTACGCAGAAGTACAATACTCGTCCGCGCTTATCATCTTGTAGATGTTCTTCTCCGGCATCGTCTGAATTTGAGACAAGATATGGACTTCAGACGAGGATGAGTGTTATGCTCAGTGGTCGTCTTGATCATTCAGGGAAGCCACGCGCAGCAGAGAAATAAGCAGTTGACTTGAAACCTACAAAATTGGATTAGGGGTGGGTAGAGTACTTGGATATTAGACACGTACGAAAGCTGCCATCATTGGGTGTCAGGGTATAGAGAGCGGGGACAGTTTCTGCGTTTGCAGCAAGTATGACCGAGCAACCGCCATTCATCTTAAATTTGTTGGCGAAGGCGGTCACAGCTGAGAAGCAGCTAATACATATCGACGATCCGAAGTTCTGCCCCTTTATAGTCTGTTTCCTGCTGTAGTTCTAAAGACACTTGAACTTGGTGAAACCATGTATTTCCGATTAGTACACACTTTGAACCGCTGCTTCCTAGACATGCCATTATAATACGAGAGGGCTTCATTCTTGCGAGATGTTTACATGCTTCAAAGCTCAAGCCGGTTTTCGCTCTTATTAACTCTTACCTGAAAAGTGACGCAGAATATGGGCGGAGGAAAAAGGTATGTGCGCGTATGAGCAAAGGTCAAGCACAAGAGCAAGTTCGACCCACCTTCAAGGAGGCAAGATGAGACTTGGAACTAGCTTAAGGGCAAGTTGGGGGATCATGAAGACATTTCGAGATGGCCTCTCACGTGAGGAGTTGGGATTAGTTTCGACGTACCATACATTACCTTCTTAGGCTCCGACTACTTGCTTACGACTCAGCGCAGACCCGAATTTGGTCATGTCCGAAGTCGGAGACGTTTCCGAGAAATTGCCTCCAATAGTACTTCTCCCAACCGAGTTAAAACTGCATCTCTTGTCCTTCGTAGACGTAGATGCAGTTTTATGCATTCGCAGGGTACGCAAAGACTCTTATACCTACCAGTTTTCATCCTCTTGAGCATCTAACAGACATGTCGTACTTTCGCCAAAGTCACGAAAACTCCGGTGTTATGGTTGACGTTGCTTGATAGAGACAAAGATTATCTTCCATATTCACCGCACATCCAAGCTCTTCTGAAAGAGAGACACAACCATTCTTTATCTCTTGGCGATTTGCCATCAACCCTCGAGTCGGCTGTAATCTCTGCTCATCGTTCAATGCAATTATGGGCCCGGCCACGACGGCTCATGCCGATTGAGCTTCACCCTAAGAATGGCGATTTGCTTGAGTATATCCAACTATTTTTGGATAGATGGCTGCTCTGTGCATATGGGGAAGGCCTTGTGTATCTTTGGGATATCCGATCTGCATCAGGAAAAGTAAAACCTCTTTGTTGTGCCAGCCTCGATCTCAGGGCCCGAAACTGGTCTTTGGCTGCATCGATTGATGAGTCGAACAAGTATATCATAGTGTCATTGGCGCAAGCATCTATGTGAGCCTTCACTTTCACGAAATTGTGTCATTTAATTTATCTTATTATCTAGCCCACCCAAAATACACGTCTATCGCGTTGAACTTCGACAGTCGTCTATCTCTGATCCGAACGACTTTGAACTCCTTCAAATCTCGATCTGCCCAGGCCTGCCGCAATTAGCCAGGTCGATAGAACCTTCCCTACAACTCATGATGCTATCGAGTCCGACCACAGTTGACATCGCAGTTGCAAGAACTCATCCATCTTCTCCAACAATTCCAAGCGACGAATTCCTTGTCAAGGAAATGACCATTTCGCCTCGGATTAATGATCCTGATGAATTAGTAGGCAATTCAACCATTTTAAATTTCTTATTGAAGCTGATTGGTGTTCTAGATAAATGGTGTTGTGGATTCGCGTATTATGGGAAGTTATGTTGTCCTTTTCAAGTCTCGTTCCATCGAGTTGCACCCGCTTGTGAGGAACACAGAGTTGCTTTTGCAACCGGGCCCTTCGAAGTATTGTGCCCCCAGCTATTTTCCGTTCGCGTCTGTTTCTTTTCGCCTGATTTCGGTTTCCGATCACGCAGTGCATCAGGATTGTATAACCTTTAGCTTTCTTGGCTATGACTTCCTTCGAGGGATCTTTCGTTTTGAAGTGCGGATCCAAGATCCATTGAATGGAGGTGTTGACCCCACTCTCGACGTAAACTGTGTCGACATAAGCCCGATGTCACAAAGCTTTGAAAAAGGTGACTTATCACTTCTCCACGCGTCAGCTGCTCCCAAGAATAGCTCGCCCCCAGTGGCGGCAGCGGTGAGCTCATCGACTCGAGTTCCTTCACCCTCGCCTCCAACACCTAGATCCATCAGGGATGGGACTTCTCGCGGATTTATCAGTGCGATGTGCATCGGCCCACAGGGTAAACGCGCCGTGTGGGTTGAGAGAAATCGCTCTAGCACCTTGCGGGAGGTACTTGTATGGCATATATCTGATGTTGAGAATGAGGGCGCTTGGTCGGTGATGCCTCGACAGGTAGTTTATCGTGTTGAATCATACGATCTACGAGGTAAGCCTTTGAAAAGTATGCCAGCGAAGCCAGACTAAATACAATTTCTTTGCACTTAGAGGATTTGACGCATTGTGCCATTGGCGAAGTTAGCGGCACAGTCGTCCTTGGGAGTCGAGACGGGAACATCTTTATCCTGGAGTTAGATCCATAGTAGACTTCAATCTCTAGCATCATACTCGCATGCCTTTCGCTTCTGTCACCTGCACCGGTGTCAGCTTCGAGTTATATGTTGATATCTTTACCTACATTGCCCGCCTAGCTCAATCGGATAGAGCGTCAGACTCTTAACTTGGCAGGGTATCTGAAGGCTGCGAGTTCGACCCTCGCGGTGGGCTACGAGGGTTCCTTCAGCATGTTTTTCTGCTACCATGTTTGGTCTTCAGCCGCCTGAACAGTGGATGCATCCTGCGGGTTCGAAAGCCCGCCTAGCTCAATCGGCCAGAGCGTCAGACTTTTAGGGCAGGTCTAGCCACCTAACTAGTTCATCTGAAGGCTGCGAGTTCGACCCTCGCGGTGGGCTATTACACCATTCAGGCGTAGTTCCTTTTGCCTTTCCTAGTTTAGGCTTGCGCCGCCCGCATTTGGACGCCTTACTTTGTTTACAGCGCCCGCCTAGCTCAATCGGATAGAGCGTCAGACTCTTAACTAGGCAGGCATCTGAAGGCTGCGAGTTCGACCCTCGCGGTGGGCTACCATGCGCTCTCTTGAGTGAATTGACTTTTTCATACTTTTCTCTTACCCCAGTGCATATCAGGCGAAAGCTCCAACTTTTTAATAACAATGGCTCCCTTGAACTTGTACGCAACATCCCCTTGTCCCTCAAATGCGTCCCGTGTATGTCCGCCTAGCAATCGTGGCCGATGTTACAGGTCTACGATATGGACTAAAACTTCGGACAGCGCTTCATGTGTCCCATATTATGCGAGAAATTGGCCCAGTGACCCAGGCATTTGCATTTGGAACAAAGTGTTGGTGCCAGGCAACCGACAGAACTGATCACCGTTAGAAACAGGATGCTCATTGGCAATGGAGTCGGAGGCGAAGGTTTTCTGCGCATCTCCGATGACTCTGAGGCAGTCTTGTCCTCGGTTTTCTAGGAAACGCAATAAACATATGTGGGTGACAAGCACGTTGCAGACGAGCAGTCATCACAACCTACGAGTACCCATATCTACACAGTACGACTGAATTCAGATGGATGTCGCACAACACTAAACATTGGCCTCCCAAAAATTCCCGATCAGTGTCTCCAGGAATGGCCGGTAGTAGTAACAGAATAAGTATGTGCTAATTATGTTACTTTTTCAGGGGAAGTATTCGTTCCGTTGTCTCGTTTTTTTGGCTGTACAGGTTCTCGTGTGTGTAGTTGAGGCCACGCTTACATCCTCACGTTATCATGGGACTCTATACCACTCTTATGCCGGTGGAAAGCCTGGAGAGTTGCATAGATCTAGATGCCCTTTACAGTTGGCAGCCATGGAACCTCATCTTACGAAATAAACACCACGGGCAGTAGACAGAGAATGAGAAATGTCATACTTTTTCGGAATAAAGCGAGAAGTAAATCCAAGTCCCATGCTCATCCCACGCCGTGTGTAGTATTTGTCCAAGATGTTTGCATGACACGGCCCGCCTAGCTCAATCGGATAGAGCGTCAGACTCTTAACTAGGCAGGGCATCTGAAGGCTGCGAGTTCGACCCTCGCGGTGGGCTATGAGTATGAGAGCAAATATGCTTCTTTTTGTGGCAGTTGCTCTCCACATTTTGTGGCGCTCTTCTGTCGACTTGTCTTTTAATACGGAACATCTGCAAGATTTCTGCAGACTTCCGTATTTCTCATTAGGCTTTTTACACTACTTGTACTTGCGTTATCATTCTCCGTGTAAGCGCGAAATGCCTGCCTTGATTCAGGGCTACTTCCGGGGCATCTGGCAACAAGAGTCAAAGACCAAGGTCATTCCCCAAGCATCGTGGTTAAAATCTCCTTGGCATACTCTACAAATTGTACACTCACAGAGGAAATTGGACCTGGCCGACAGCCTGACACATTTGTCGCCGAGAAAATGTAGTGCCTCGGGGTCGGGCTCAACAGCACTTGGAAGGATGACCAAGCCAAGACAGAGCTTTGCCTATGGTTTATTTGCGGCAGGATGAGTTATATCGTGTTCGAGCAGGAGAAAATATAAACCTTTGGACCATTAAGTGGAAAAGGCAGGACACCTCTGCAACGGATCAGGTCAGATTTATTATAGTTCCAACAGATCAAAGGACGCATGACTCACCAGGACACACAGGATGAAGGCGATAACCTCTTGGGTGTTGGACTTGCCGCTGTAATGGCCAGCTTCGCAAATGCAGCCCAGCCCCCGCAAATGGTCCCACCAACCTCGATGCATTATTAGCCTCGCAGCCCGGTCCGAACTATGCGTTGATGAACAATTTCGGGACAGCCGATCCGATCTGGATTCCCTCCACAGAAAACGTTACAGAACCAGAATTGGAGTCGACAAGCAGCTCCACCACCGTGTCCCACATCGAGATGTATTCGGGAGGCAACTGTGATGGGAGTGTCATCAGGACCCCCACGCTGTACATCAAACAAAGCGCTATTACGCATTATCGGCACCTCACCATGAACAACGACGGCTATAATGGAACAACCAAACTATTGACAGTTGTTCAGAAATGGGATTAGCAATCACTGCAGTGCATTGCTGTTCTCGCAGATCACTGAGTTGGACGCGTTTCATTCAATGATGGGTTCTACTACGCCAATGGAGTCCTGGGATTGTTGCCAAGATGGAGTCACTTACTAGTCACAGTCATGGAGAGCGCGATAACAACAGGAGTAGTCATGAAAGACGTCAATGAGCCATTTGATTAGCCACAAGGCGGTTGATGAGTCCGGTGATAGAGGAACACGCATTTGGGAGGCTGTGATGTGATGCAGTCATATAAGCCGGAAGCGACGCCACACCGGCCGTGATCGTGCGGAAGTCGGCGGCTGAGTAAGCACAGCATGGAATTCGCTTGTTTTTTTTTCCTACCCAACGTCTTTGATCAACAACCCCCATCAACTCCCCCCTTAGATCGACTTTTTTTCTCCTTCTTTTCATCCACGAAAAGTTCATAAAACACAACCCTTGCTACGACTTCAGTTCTTAGTCCTTTCAACGCTAATATGACAAATGGTCTTGTAAACGGTTCCACTGGCATCGAGGGGCAATTTGGTGAGTCCTTGCCAGCACATTGCTTTGTTCCATCCTTATACTGAACTGGATGGTCATTTAGCTTCTCTCGGTCTCGGTAAATCTGCTTATGTTCCTCCTCATCTGAGGAATGCGCAGCGGGCTGCTCCTACGAACGGGTAAAACAATAGGTTGTCTAGACACGCTCCATACTAATATTTTCTCATAGAAACGGCTGGGCTGATTCCCGATCTGCTACTCCTCCCACAGCTGCCCGCGGCAATTATGGAGGTGGTTACGACCGTGGCCGAGGTGCCTTCTCCAGCAGCGGGTCTCGTGCACCCAGCGGCGGCAACTGGGGCTCCTCAGGTGCTTCCCAATCCAACTGGGCCCCTAACCATCGCGACTCTGGCCCTAGAGAGACTTTCGGTTTCGGTGCGTGGAAGGACGGCAAGCACGTCACCGGCGGTCGCAACATGCGCCTCGAGAAGGAACTCTTTGGCGACGCTACCGATCCCTCTAAGCAACACACTGGTATCAACTTTGAAAAATACGACGATATTCCCGTAGAGGCCACTGGCGCTGGCGTCCCTGAACCTGTCCTGTCGTTTACGAGCCCTCCTTTGGACCCCGTTCTTTTGGAGAACATCGGATATGCTATGTACACCACTCCCACCCCCGTTCAAAAGTACTCCATTCCTATCGTCGCTGGAGGCAGGGACTTGATGGCCTGCGCCCAGGTAAGACAGTTTTTATTTTTACCAATATTACCAAGATTTTTTTTTTGACTCACCAGCCTCCGTATAGACCGGTTCCGGAAAGACAGGAGGTTTCCTCTTCCCAATCCTTTCTGCTTCCTTCACACAAGGACCTCGTCCTCCCCCAGAGGCCTCGAACGGTAACAGTTATGCACGCTCCCGCAAGGCCTACCCCACTGCTCTTATCCTTGCCCCCACCCGTGAGCTCGTCTCCCAGATCCACGATGAAGCCCGTAAGTTCGCCTACCGTTCGTGGGTCCGCCCCGCGGTGGTCTACGGAGGTGCCGACATCAACCAGCAACTCCGTCAGATTGAGCGTGGGTGCGATCTCCTTACAGCCACGCCGGGTCGTCTTGTCGACTTGATTGAGCGTGGCCGCATCAGCCTTGCGAACATCCAGTACCTCGTTCTCGATGAGGCCGATCGCATGTTGGACATGGGTTTCGAGCCCCAGATCAGGCGTATTGTTCAGGGCGAAGACATGCCAGGAGTCAACCAACGTCAAACTCTCATGTTCAGCGCCACGTTCCCGCGTGACATCCAGATGCTTGCCAAGGACTTTTTGAAGGACTACATCTTCCTCTCTGTTGGCCGTGTTGGCTCCACGAGCGAGAATATTACCCAAAAGATTGAGTACGTCGAGGACAATGACAAGCGCAGCGTCCTCCTGGACATCCTTGCCAGCCAGGGCCCTGACAACCTCGGGCTCACCCTCGTCTTCGTCGAGACCAAGCGCATGGCTGATATGCTCAGCGACTTCCTGATGGCCAACAACCTTCCTGCCACCTCTATCCACGGTGATCGCACCCAGCGCGAGCGTGAGCAGGCGCTCCAGACCTTCCGTACTGGCCGCACCCCCATCCTCGTCGCCACCGCTGTCGCCGCACGTGGTCTCGATATCCCCAATGTCACCCACGTCGTCAACTACGATCTCCCTTCTGACATCGACGACTACGTTCATCGTATCGGTCGTACAGGCCGTGCTGGCAACACTGGTGTCTCCACTGCGTTCTTTAACCGCGGCAACCGCAACATCGTGCGTGAGCTCGTGGAGCTTCTGCGCGAGGCGAACCAGGAGATCCCTGGATGGCTCGAGACCGTTGCGCATGAGGCGTCGTTCGGCAGTGGTGGTGGATACCGTGGTCGTGGAGGACGTGGCCGTGGTGGAGGAGGAAGCCGCATGGGTGGTAGGGATTACAGGACTGGAGGTGGAGGAGGAGGCAGTGGAAGCTTCGGTGGCCCGAGGAGCAGCACTGGTGGATGGGGCAACGGTGGTGGATACGGTGGTGGATACGGCGGCGGAGCTAGCGGCGGCCCGCAGAGCTGGTGGTAAATTCATCACCCTCAACCGTCACCACCCCCCCATGCCTTTCTTCCCCTTGAAATATC